ATGATTTCAATTCTTTCCAGGGCCTTTCAGCCTTGCAGCTCTACACTTTAATTGAAGCTCGGTTCTATGAACCACGCTATTAATTACACGTAGGATAAGTGATTGGTTAAATGCTACAGGAGCGTGGCGTTTTGTTCTGGTGTCGAGCAGTGAACATGTTGTACTTACTGTGATAGGGGTTAATGTGATGGACTGTAATTGGCTAAAGAAAGTGGCTGGGTCAGAGTTAATTTGGCATTTGCTTTTTCATTCAGCCTTAACAAATTGCCTGGAATTAAATAAAGTGTCACATTTCATTAGACATCATGTCTGAGCAGGAACAAATAAAAAGGAGCGATATTGAATACATATGGATTCAATGGCACACACACTGTTTGCTTTACCCAATTAATAAGATTTGAAATAAGACATTCAACAACAACACTTCAAAGATAAGGCAAGTCAAAGCACAAAAAAGATAGTGGTTATTACATGTAGCTATTTGAACAGCTTTCCGATACTTTGTATTTTGTAGTAAAATATATTATATAAGACTTTTATTCAAACATCAAATAATTCTAAACAATATTCTCAAATCATTAGTTTACATTTGTTCAGAATCAGAACATGTTTTCATTGCCTATAATGAGTATAAATAAGCACTCACCGTTTGAAACATAAAGATCCTAGAGTCATAGTCTAAGGCTCATGATGACCATAACATCGTGTTCTTGCAAGCAGAGTTCAGGTTTTAATATTTTAAGTAACGGGGCAATATTTATTCACATCTGTCATAAAGGAATTGGGAATGTGGTTTACCTTGATGTGTTTTGATTTATTCTACACGCCCTGAGGTTATACCCGTGAATTAGAGAGCATCAATAAGGAAAGACCATCTCCCCTATCCCAAAAGTGATAATTACCAACATCACTATCGATCCGACTATTGATGCATTGCTAATTGTTTCTTGCAGTTATTTATTTAATTCCATCTCTGGCCATGTGAATGTGTTGACCTTGTGCAATGGGAAATATAAGGCTTGTTTGGAAGAAGGAAAAACACATTAAGATTCCACTTAAAAAGTTTTTTAAAAAGCAAGGAGTTCTCTCGTTTCCATCCAAATGAGAGTTCTGGGTTATGATCTTTTCATGAGATCGAAAAGCACAAGCAGAATGGCAATTTGAGTCGGATGTTACTTCTTGACTTCTCATTGCAGCCTTGACAAGTTCTGCGCTTACAAATCTCCATGGATATTACAGACGTATCGAGATGGCGTCATATTGATCAACTATAACACTACATTATCTAAGAGGTAGAATAATAATGAAGATTATTCATCATTAACGGTGTATTGGTTTTAGCACATCAAAAATGTATTCGTAACTCTTAAATTAGTTTCTCTACACACGGAAACTCAAGGTCTGACTTCATGAGAACGTAATTATATTTGGCATAAATAGTGAAGGATAAGATTCATAATTCAACATTTTCTTTAGCCAAGTTTGTCTGATTTTGTGGCCAACATCTACAACATAATTTAAAAGTATATAAGGATTCATTAAGCCTACTCATGCATATACTTGTGTATTTATTGAATTAATGATAACAGTAGATCTTGACAAATATGCTACCCATTACAATAAAAAAACATATTTTTCCTTTCCAAACCTTTAAGTAAACATTTGTATTTCTTGTGTATGAAGCTAAATGTGAGTAGCAGGGCATTAATGTGAGTCACTTACAGCGTGTTAGACCACAGGTGCACGACACACACTGGAAAGTACATCATGGTCAAAAGCAATGTGTGTGCATGTGCCTGTATGTGGTTGTCCGTGGAGACTGTTAGCCTTTGCCAGGACATCTGGTACTTGTCACATCACTTAGTGCGTGTTTGAGCACTTCATTGGTGTGCCCTGCCCAGTTCTGCCCCCTCCCCCCCCCACATCAGGTACCTTTTCAGACCTTTAGTCTGCGCTGTAACAGAACAGCACCGAGGGCCATGTAGATGTCTTATGCAAGGAGTGTGTCACGCTTGTGGCCCAGCGTGGCATCAGAAAATCCTCCAAGAGAGTTACAGTCTCTCTGCACGTCATCCATTGAGGGTTTTTGGATTTCATCCAAGAGAGAGGTGATGATGTGAGCAGATACAATATCACTGGCCTGGGGATGAGTCTGCCTGGTTGGTTGGTTGGTTGGTGACCTCAGTACCTTCATCACAGATAACCCACGGCTAAATCTCATTTAATAAACATTTGCTTTGACACTGAAGTGATGCATTATGGCTTTAACTGGAATATGCGGACATACACACATTTACAATGGATGTCAGAGATTGACAATTTGAAGATAATTGCAGTGTATTTATTTTTCTCCTACTCTACCCTCTGTCTCTCTCCAACTCCCGCCCCACCAGATTGTGAAGCCAAGCCTCTAGCATTGTAGTGCTGAAGGTGTGTTTGTGCTGTTATGCCCTCTGGCTTGGCTGCCAGCTTACTCCCACTGATCTGAGCCAGAAGGCAGACTGCCGAGGAATACCGATCACCTTGCCCAGACCGAATCCTTTGAGCTCTCTCTGGCATCTTTCCCCCTTCTGCCAGTTTCCTCCTCTGCTCCTCTCTTCCCCCTTCTGAAGTTGACAACAAAGACATCCTCAGGGTCCTCCTTGATGTGAGACCCACTCTTGATCTTTTTTCCCTATGTTTTTGTACCTTATAGTTGCACTACTTTCATATTCCGCTAGCGCAATATTTACACACTAGAAGACAAAGAAACAGGGGTCTTTTCATGTAAGAACTCCTGCCAACATGTTAATCACCTGAGGACCTGCAGTGGTCATGTTGGCCCAACAGAGGCGGGACATTAGTGAGACACCTCTCTGCGACTTATTGCCCCCTATTTGACCAACGCTTTGAGATATTTTGCAGGTCTATCCATCCATCCATCCATCCATCTATCTATCTATCTTATCTATCTATCTATCCTATCTATCTGAACTTAATACTTTATATGACATCCAATAAGACTTACTCCTTGACATTCATCCTTCTGCCTCTTCACTCTCTACCCCACCCCACCCCTCAAGCCCCCTACACCCCACCACCAACCCCCTGCTTCCACGAAGAGAAATCTCTGAAGAGCTAATTAGTGGTGAAATGGAGTCCAGGAACAGCCAACAGAGCTGAAGAAGGGAGATTGGCGCTGGTGCGAGCTTTATCGGTCAGGGCCTGACAGAGGGGTGACAGAGAGTGGAGGCAAATCACCGGCTCACAACTGACAATAAAAGTGAGCCTCTGAGCCGGAGAGAATGAGATTGACAGATAGACAGGCAGGCGAGGAGAAAAAAGCTTCTGTCCTGTGCCTAGGCAAATTGCACAGTCCCCGTCACTGAGGCAAGTCTCCCCCTGCCAAAGTGTTTGTTGACCATCCCATATTCAACAAAAAACATGTGTGTTTTTGACTGGAAACCAACTGTATCCATCTTGAATGTGGTAAAGTAAAAACATCAGATTTTGTAGAAGTGCATAAAAGTAGTTTTTGGAGGTATTAAGTATTAAATAAAAATTAGCAGAAGTGTGTAACTGCAGTTGGAATATATTTGTTTCCCACACCAATAAGATTTTATTAGAGTCGTGACAATAATAACCATTTTTTTTATTTCAAATGTTCAGGTAATTATCCTCATGGGCAGAGTAGGTTTGTTGTAGCTGGGACAATTATTCTGGTAAGGTTGTGTATTACATTAGTGTTTTAATAAAGTGAATGCTTATTAAAAGATCAATTCAACTCAGAATGTTATTGTTAGCCTTTTATTTATTCATTTTTATTGGTAGCCTATTAGATTTTGCTTAGTTCAAACTGTAGCCTCATCAGGTTTTTAAAAGTGTATGTTACATGCATGGATTACAGACATTTTTAACTATTAATAATTTTCAAAGTTAAACCGACCACCTTAACTGGGAGAAGCCAGTCGGAAAACAGCCATGAAGAAGTAGATTTAGAAGAAGAATATGTAAAAGATGATGAAGACGAACTCACCTGTCTTCTTAGGTGGAGGCAGATGTCATTGAAACACAGAGGTGGGAGAAGTACTCAGATCTTTTGCTTGAGTAAAAGTAGAAGCTCTAAAGTGTATAGGAATATTACACATAAAAGTCTTGCATTCAACATGTTAGTCAAGTAAAAGTACGAAAGTATAAGAATCAAAATAAACTTAAAGTACCAAAAGTAAAATGACTCATTATGCAGATTGGCGCATTTCAGAATAATATATATGATATGTCTTATACAGCTTTAGGGGGAAGCACTCCTCCGAGGCATGTGAAAAAAAGCGAGGGAAATTAATTATTTGAATAATAAAATAATACAAAAATACAAATAAATTAAACAAATAATTTAAAATGTGAAGAAATAATAAAAAATATAAACAATTATATAAAGATAAATACATAAAAATATATATTTGTTAAAAAATTAGAAACTAACTTTTTTTCAAATACATAAAACATTTCATACTAATAAATAAAATAACCAATTAGAAAAAAATAAAAATATATAATTATTCAAATTCAAAAATATAAAAAAATATTATAAAAACATACAATAAATACTAAAGTACATAAATGAAATAATAATAATACAAAAATACAAAACAGTATTATACAAATAATGCAATAAATTAAATACATAAAACAATAAAAAATCAAAACACAATAATAAAGAATATATTAACAACATAAAAAATACAATAAATAATAATAAAACATAAAAAAACAAAAAAAACATCAATGAACGACGAGGGACGGTGGGGCCCCCGACAATGACAATTCCATTGATGCTGGTCTACACTCCGATACAGGGAAGAGTATTCCATTTGTTTGTACACCATACAACTTGAAGCTAAAAGCAGTCAAAATCAGTGGCCTCAGGAATAAAATAATGTCGTAAGAGATAAACTACTCCCGCGACTTCCGGTTAGGACTACGTCACCGAACGTAAAAAGGTAAATACGCCGAAATAAACACGCTTGAATTTGATTCGGTGAACCGTGTAAACCTGAAACACTAATTGCCGTAAGCTATTTGCATTGTTTCCATAGCTTTGTTAGCGGCAAAGCGACAGGTGTTTTGTCAAAGTAATGGAACTGTGTGTGTTGGGCTACCTTAGTTATTACCTAGAAATAACGTAAAGTTAAACTAACTTTTTACTGAAGATATTAACCTGAAGACCCGAGGCTGTCGTCACCGCCTCGCACAGGGTATGGTCCTGCTAGTTTACTCAATGTGTATTAATGATGTTTGATGTGTGGATGTTACCTTGTTAAGCTACCGTTTCAAAAGTAAGATATCATGTCATTGCTTTATTTTCAAATGAATGACCACAGGGGTTAAGTAGAGCCAGAGTTAGTTTTGGTTAAACTTTTTACACGTTGGGAAGGGATATTATCTGAAAAGAGAAGGAGGGAAACGCTGTGTGTTTGGGCATATTATTGACTTATGCTACGTAGCCTACATTGAGTTTTAAGGCGTTTATTTTCTAGATTGAGAACATGTTTGCTTTATCACCACCAACACTTGAATGAACCAATATTAACAGAAGCCAACAAAGCCAATATGCTCCTCTGTAGGCGTTTTTAACGTGTGCTAATTAGTTATGAACCTCTGACTTTTTATCCTCATTTAAAAAACATATTGCTGTGTCTGTGAGGTTTACACCAGGGATTGATGCAGACATCCCTTGTGTTTTAAAACGACACCACCTCTGTAAATTCCCTTTATGTGATTCTCCGAAAGAGTTGATTACTAACTACATATTGCAGTTATAACTTTAACATGAAGACCTAAATGAGGTAAAGATGGAATTAACAAACTGAGATAAACAAAGCTAGTTGTGATTTAGTCGCTGAGTGCTTTTGGCCTTTGTCTTTTACTTTACACGGACAATTTGGTAGCCTAAGCAGGATGTGGTTTTTCCATGTAAGCTGATAATGAAACAGACAGGCCAATTGTATGGGATGAACCTGTATTTAAGGAAAGTATGTAGAGGAGAGTGGCAGTACTGGCTTTGAAGCTAAGTGTTTTTATTTTGTGTAACGTAATGTTATTCTTCTCTGGGTTTCTAAATACAGATGTCAAAGTTGACATAAATATACATGCAAACCTAGTTTTTAAGTAATGCAAACAATTAGCCAGGGGCAGTACAGGTAGTCTAGTTGTAAATAGTTACATACATGACATTCATGTTTAGCCGGCTAGTTTTAGAGGGAGTCACACGGTCACATATGAAACATGCCCTTCTTAATAACTTATTCACGAAAAAATAAAATAAATGTAAACTTTGTTGTTTATTTACCTGTGCATTGTTTCTGCTTTTTTGATTTGACAGACTAAGGAGAGGTATATAGTGTTTAAAATGTATTAAACAAGGACAAGATGCTCTGCCTGGACCATTGGAAGATTTGACACCTCCCGCCATTCTTGGTCCAGTTTCCAATCGTCCCATTGTTCACGCTGCCTACATCTCTTTGGGGGTAACCTGCCGACAAACAGTGAGTACTAACATGTTGCTTTGAAATTTGATTTGGTATTTTGTTGAAGCAAGTGAAGTGGCCATTTGCTTCAGGCCTCCATGTGCCGGGTGTGTTTCATGTTTAAAGCAGTTCAAATGTATGTTGAATGATATGGATACTTTAGGTGCCGTATCTTTTTGTATAAAACAGTGGAGCATTGAGGTACTTAAGACTCAGATATATCCCCAAGGAGTTGTTGGACACCAAAACGGAGATGAAAGGAAAGTGAATATTGGATTTCTATTCATCAGCTGGTCACAGACATGATTCTAAATAAATGCCAAAGCTACTGTGATTCTGTAGGACGTGCAAATAAGAATGTGTTTGCTTTCAACTTTGGATTATCAACATAATTCTAATAATAAATCATAATAATATTAATTATATGAACACCACAATATGTCAGTGGTGTATTTATAGATTGTTTTTGAACTGGATTAGGTTTCTATCACACACACAGTGCTATGGTGTGTAAATACTCTCAGGCCCCCAGCCAAGTTCTAGTAAATACAGCGTGTATGTATTATATATTTATCAAGTAGTTCTAGTGAAATGGAATCGAGAGGATGTTTAGTTTCTGTACTGTGACATTACCCAAGGAAATAGAATACTTTTGCAGTGTACAGTTACAAGAGCTGTTTAAATCAAATACTTTGCATTTAATAGGACATCTAAAAAGTGGACTGGCTTAGAATTGAGTGTGATGCGCAGCTATAGAAGACTCTCGCTCCTCACCTCTCCAAAGTTGCAAATTAATTGATGTATGGATGCCATGATATTATTGGTTTAAATTGCTTGGTACTAGTTTACGTAAGAACACGTAATAATTTGTGTTACGTGAAGAATAGATGATTGTAATTTGATATAAAAAAATAATATTTCTTTGTATTTCCTTTGATATATATTGTTAAATAGGTGAAGTGTTTCATTTTGACGTTGGCTAGTATGTATGTCTTACTTTTATTTACCTTCATCAAATAGAGAATGTGCAATAAGAGGCAGTGGGAACAATCTCAGTGAGAACACACACAAGGTTCTCCCTAATAGCAGGTATTGAGAATGATTTAAGAGTGATAGAGTATCTTAAATAAGAACAAAAGATTCCTACAATGTTTGCTTCACTATACCTTTGCTAACATGGCCTGAGTGTTGGGGAAGGTCAGAATGGTGGCATTACACATTTATGATGATCATTTATTTATTTTGTCAAGTAAACCCAATCAGAATGCCTGGGAGCTTGCCAGATAGCAAACAGGGATAATTAGCATCACTGGGAGAGGTGGCATCTCCTTGTACTCTGGCCTCTGCTTGCTTTTATCTGCAGAAGAGGCGAGGTGGTGGAGAGCTAAATATTGATGGAGCTGTCCATACTCAGTGAAACTCAAACATACTGTCCAGCTTTGTTAGGGCTGTGCTGGACTCTCTTCTAACAGACATTAAGGATGACAAAATCTAATTATGTTTACATCTTTTTTGTCTATTGCCATATTGCCAAATGCTTAACCTGAAATTAAATGTAGTTTTCCCAAACAAAATATGTTTGTTTATCTTGCGTTGCTTTCAGACTTGTAGTTTGGTTCCCTTGGTTCTGATGAAAGAAAATAAAAGTTTTTCTTCACACTGACTTGAGGCAAGACTCTGAAACATAACGTCACATGAACTGAATTGCAATCCAAGCTGTTCAATTAATTATATTAGATACTTTTGACTTGTACCTATACATCTTCAGTACTGTAAGGGCACACAGGGGAAAATCAAAATGAAGCTTGTTCTCTTGACTGACAGGAAGTTGTGCTGCGGATCACTGCGCCTTGGTTTTGAGTTTTTCTAGAGACTCCAACTCTTTCTTTCAGAAATGATGATGGACAGGCTGAAAGAGAAACGTGGTCTGTTTGGCCATCTTATTGGGTTATGCTATGTAAATTATGAATTTTAAGGCGTTTATTTTCTAGATTGTGGAAATGTTTCCTTTATCAACACAAACACTTGTATAACCCTATATCAACAAAGAGTCAGAATGAGCCCTTAACTTGGATGGGAATCCATTTCTGCTCTGTAGGCCTTTTTAACATGTGCTAATTAGTTTTCAAGGTCTGACTTTTTATCCTCATTTTAAATATATATTATGCTGTGTCTGTGAGGTTTACACCAGGGATTGATGCAGACATCCCTTGTGTTTTAAAACTCACCACCTCTGGAAAGGCCCTTTCTGTGATTCCCGAAAGAGTTGCGTACTAACTAAATCCGTTTTTTTATAGGATGTAGCGATAATAAAAAAATACTTGGGATGTAGAATTATCTGTCCAAATAACCCACCCCCAAGACACAGCTTCTACAATGTTGTATATATACACTTAGCATTTGTCAAAGTACACAGTTTCTATGAAACATGTATTTTCCCTGGACTAATTAAAATATACAACATTTATTAGTAACCAATCCATACGGAAAAGCATTGTTTTATATAACACTTCTGGTTGAAAGTTTCTCGTCTGTTTGACCAACCAAGGATGTTTTTAACTGACATTTTCTCCATTACACATGTAACCTTTCAAACATTGGTAGCAGGGAAGTTATTTGAGGTAACTTATTTTTAGTAACCTCCAGAAAAACGCGGGAAAAAATCCTTGATTATGCGAGCTAAAATCCTTGATTATGTGATTAAACATGCAGGGTTTTTATGTGATTTTATGCGGTGAAATTGCGGGAAGTTGCGAAATATGGGGCTGTCTTATTTATTCTCTCTTACTGTAACGACGAGACGCCGTTACTGCTATTTATTAAATGGCATTAATTATATGAGTGTTCACCCCTCATCTTGTCTGTTGTTTCCGGTCGTCTCTGTGTTCCCTCCTGCTGATTATCCGATTGTGTTCACCTGGTGCCCTGTGTTTGCTCCTCCCCTCACCTGTGTCTAATTGCTCCCCCTCACCTGTGTCTTGTTAGTCTGTGTATTTAAGTGTTGTTTCTTGTTAGAGTGGTAGTGTGTGTGAGATCTTTGTGGCTGCAGGAGAACAGCAGGATTGAGGCTGTGAACTTTGTGCACATTATTTTAATAAATGCCCACGTCGGGTTATATTTTTGGACGTTCTGCCTCCTTGCTTGGTCCGGCCGCTCAACGGTCAGTCTCACACTCACACACAACCTGCCACTAACGTTAAACCCCTTTCCTATTCAATTAAACACATTCAATGTTTATTTATTGTAAAAGCAATTGGGCTATTTTAACCTCTCTCTCTCTCTCTCTCTCTCTCTCTCTCTCTCTCTCTCTCTCTCTCTCACACTCACACTTCTCCGCCTCATTCTGTTTTCATTTACTCGTTCGTTATCTGACCAGCTTCAATCTTGTAGGCTACTCACTTCGTTTCTTGTAGCCCTCGAAAGGGTTTTGGAGGTTGATGCCTCGGTGAACGTGAGTTGTTTGGCTTTCTTGTCCGCAGCAGCAGAAAGCATTTTCGAATATTTGAATGAATCAAAGTGGGTCGTCACCGTCGAATTTCTCTCGTATGCTCCAACACACAGTTGCACGGGGTGCAGAATAGTTTCCCCCCACTTTCGTGAAAGACATCGGGGTACTGCTTTGCCCGGTCTTTAGCAGAAATGTTCTTCGGTAAATGAGATGGATCTTGGTGTTTTCTCTCTCGTGTGAGTTCCACACGTTCACTCTACGGTGTTGTTTACCTTCTGTGATGCGCGGGCTGATGACTCGCGTCATCATCATCATTACTTCACGTCAAGACGAGTTAACGAAAAATGCGGGGATTATGCGGCCTTTTGATAAATATGCGGCCTTTTAAAAATCTGCGCCATTTTGCTGATTATGCGGTAAATTCTGCGATCGCAGAATCGCGTTTTTCTGGAGGGTCTAATTAAAGAGGACCTATCATGCAAAATGCACTTTTTTATGTCTTTTATACATAAATATGTGTCCCCGGTGCGTCGGGGAACTCACGCAGCGTCAGAAAATAAAACCCTTTCTCTTTTCCTCCGTACCGACATCTTTTAAAAACGGGGGTACAACGAGCGGATACAGATTTGCTGCCGACATGACGTCAAATCGGCGGCAGACCCACAGAAAGTTGCTATCAGAAACAATGCCTGACGTGTTTTGGACGTAATCTCGTCTTTGTTTACATTAGCAAGCCTCGCTAACACTCAGAGCTAACCTGTACTGGAGAGCACGTGTGTTTAAAAAGCAGGAAATGAAAAAAGGGTTAGGGTCACCTTGTTGTAAACCCTCAAGAGAAATTTTTTTTGAGCTCCATACTGTTTCAGAAATAATCCTTGATTTAGAACAGGATGGCGTTTTATCACAGCAGAATTTTACTTTATCTCCGGTAGAATTCTGATCAGGCATCAGCTGCGGACCCAAAATCCGCGTTTCTCTAACAGGGCTGCAAAAGAGTCGTATGAGCAGTATGAGTCATAGCTACAATGGGTGATCTGTTTGGTATTTTAAGCAAAAAACTTCACAGACATGTTTTGTATAGGTATGGCCCTACAATATATTTTTCCGATACAGCATAATAGGTCCACTTTAAGTTTAAACACAATTGGTGTTATGTTCTTGTGCTGGTGGGTAGGCTTGCCGCAGTAGATTGTGTTAACAGTGTTGTATTGTGTTCATATTATGTTACGAGCCAAACGTGGTTCTGCTGTTCTGATTTTATTTTTCCCTCAGTTTCAATGGATGGTTTCTTCTTTCATACAGCACATCTACATACATACATACATACATACTTCTTTTTGTAAATTAGGGTCACATTTAAAGTACAACAGACGATAGAGCAGTGTATGCTACTTTGATTTAGAACATGACCTCTTTCACTGTGTGTTTCAGTTCATGGAAAGTAAATGTAACCATTTGGTTGTCAAACACTGTCTCATTCAGCATTTGGTTATAATCTGCTCCACTCTCTCTTGTCACTTCAGCTTTGAAAAACAATATAGTGATGGCCAAAACCAAACATGGTAATTGC